ATTACAGCCTCAGAAACCCTGTACAGGGTCGCTATGAGTTGGCACCAACTCCACAACACATAACTGCCACCATATATATGGGGGGGGGGTGGATATATATTTTTTAAATGATGTTTTCGAGTCAGAAACTTTTAACAGTAATTGCCTTGAGAGAAAGTTTTATGCAGGTAGTAGAAGAGGCAGAAGATAGTATCTTCATTTTTTACCTTTACCATATGTATTTTCTGTGTTCTTTTTAAATTTAATGTTAATAAGGGTTATTTGTGCTGTGGGATAATTATTTTCTCTTTATTCTGCTTTTTAAAAAATAATGAACTTTAATTTTTAGTTAAAAAACAAAATCTAACCATCTACATTAGTAAACTGTCTTTATTTCAATTCTTTCTAGGTTTCCAAGGTAATCCATTATATATCCTCTTCCACTGTATTATTGATACAGCTTTTTGATGTCATAGTTTACTTCAATAAAATTGCTTGTTGTAGTAGCTCAAGTTGCCAGATCAAGTATCTTGTTACAAAGGAATCTGGTGCCTTGATACAAGAGTATTATTCAGCCTTGGTGTGGTACTGTAGGATAAGCACTGGACAGCTAACTGCAAAGTCAGCAGTTCAACCCCACTAGCTGCTCTCAGAAACCCCATAGAGGGTCTCTATGAGTCAGAACTGACTCAACAGCACACAGCAACAGCAACAACAGGAGTGTTATGGCTAGCCCTGGATTTCCCCATAGGCAAAAACCCTAACATATTATATCTGAAAGTAGAATAATAAAGAGAAACTGATTAAATTTCGTGTTTTATGAAGAAATCAAGTACTTTTTCGATAAGTACCCATACTCTGAAATATTGAATTTTTCCAAGATTGTGTAAATAAATTTTCTCTCTTACTTTTTTCCTCCTTAGAAACTTACAAGTATCCAAAAATGACTGAGATTGAGCAGGCCGAGGCCCAGCTTTCTGAATTAGAACTGCTGGCCAGTATGTTCCCCAGTGAGAACGAGTTCCTAGTGAATGACCAACTAGCTTTAGTTGAATTGAAAGACTGTATTGAAAAGAAGACCATGGAGGGGCGATCTTCAAAAATTTACTTTACTGTCAATATCAACATAGATGTATCTGAGGAAGCAACGGTAATGCAGTTTTGGTTTTGAAAGAATAGAAACGTGTCTAAACTTAAAAAAATAGCACTAAGGGAATTTTTCTCCTTTTTTACCAGATGATGTTTTCACTGGCCTGTATTCTTCCTTTCAAATACCCTGAAATTCTGCCCGAAATTACTGTCAGGTATGTTACAGAAACTCTGGCCATCCTTACAGCTGAAAATTATTGAGATAAAAATTGACTCTCATGTTTATTTTTTCTCCAGGAAAGTTGATTTAAAATTTTCCTGTATCTTTTTCATCAGATCAGTATTATTAAGTAGATCCCAGCAGACTCAGTTGAACACAGATCTGAGTGCATACCTGCAGAAGAACTGTTGTGGAGATGTCTGTATACTGAATGCCACAGAATGGGTTAGAGAACATGCCTCTGGCTATGTCAGCAGAGACGCTACATCTTCCACCACCACAAGAAGTCCAACCCAATCACTCAGTCTCATTCTCACAAGACTCTGGATCTACAGCCATCACATCTACAACAAATGCAAAAGAAAGAATATTCTTGAATGGTCAAAGGAACTTTCCCTGTCGGGGTTTAGCATGCCAGGGAAACCTGGTATTGTTTGTGTGGAAGGTCCACAAAATGCCTGTGAAGAATTCTGGTCAAGGTATGCTTACACATATTTTATATACTGGATCAATAGTTTTAGTACTAAACAAGATAGCAGAGATGTGGTAATAAGTATGTCCATAGAGTTGCATCGTCCTGGGGATTAACTCTTAAATCAGTGGATAAAATTGAAATCACATAATAGTCATTATTATCACCTTACCCTGACACAGTGCACATAGGAGACATTCTGTAAATGTATGTAGAATGGAGTCCCTGAACAAGCTGCTATTTTCCTATTAGTTTCTGTGAGTCTGATTCTTCACCTGTGTAAGCTGTATACGTTGTGAGGTAAGGGACTTTCTAGGAGCTCTAGAATTTTTACTTGTTTTCCCATTTCTCTACTGAGTAACTCTAAACGAGTTTAGAGTTTCTTAGAAGTCCCTTTGATAGTGTGAAATTGTAACATGCATTTCTACATTTCTAAGATGTTAGTACAAGTCAGTAAAATTAGCTTGGAACATTTCTTTTCAGACTCAGAAAATTAAACTGGAAGAGAATTCTAATTCGCCATCGAGAAGACATTCCTTTTGATGGTACAAATGAAGAACTGGAAAGACAAAGAAAATTTCCAATTTTTGAAGAAAAAGTGTTCTCTGTTAATGGAGCCAGAGGAAACCACATGGACTTTGGTCAGCTGTATCAGTTTTTAAATGCCAAAGGATGTGGGGATGTTTTCCAGATGTTCTTTGGTGTGGAAGGACAATGACTGAATAGAGGTGTAGTTGAGAGCATTTTTGTCATTGTTGACTTCTTGCTATTTCCCATTCTTCCTTGAAATGAAAGATTAAGTCATTTTACTTCAGTTTTTTTCTTAGAAAGTTAGGGAAAAGAACAACAAAAAAAGGAAAAGAAGATCTAAAATGCATCTGTTATGGAATGATAATGGAAAAGAACTGTTTCAAATTATAATCTTAAAAAGTGTTGATAGAAATCACCTGATACATAAAGTATCTGTTATAAAAGAGATTATGCTTGATAAAGATAATCTTGGTGCTCTAATTTGTTCCCGTTCCCTTCTTTCTTGTGTTCACTAACCCAGAAAACCAAACCCACTGCCATCAAGTCAGGTCCACCTTACAGTAACCCTGTATAGAATTTCCGAGGTTGCAAATAAGCATTGGACTGACTGCTAACTGCAAGGCTGGTGATGCAAGCCTACCAACTACTTAAAACCCCATATAGGGTGACTATTAGTGAGAACTGACTCAATGGCACTCAACAACAACAGATCTTTTCAGGAGCAGAAAGCCCATAGAGCTTTCTCTCATAGAGCTGCTGGTGAGTTTGAACTGCTTGCCTTTTGGTTAGTTGTTAAGTGTCATCGAATCAATTCCAACTCATAGCTACCCATATAGGGTTTCCAAGGCTTTAGATCTTTATGGAAGCAGAAAGCCTCATTTTTCTCACACGGAGCAGCTGTTGTGCTCAAACCACAGACTTTGTGGTTCCTAGCCCAGTGCTTATCATATGGAGCCACCATGCTCCCTTTGGTTAGTGGTCCAATTCTTATTCTACAGTGCCAGCAGGGCGCCTTGTCTCCATTAAGATCCTCGAACAGATAAAGGCTCACTGTGTAGCCTGTGTTATGGTTTGGGGTGGTCTCAGCGCAAAGCTTTGTCTAGGAGACTTCTAGGAAAGCTTTGCTAGTCTACCTCTTGTCCCTCTTTCTGCTACAAACACCAAAGTGATGCCTAGAGCAACAGTCATTCTTTTACCAAGAGGGAAGAAAGAACTAAAAGAGCCACAGAGAGATGCCAGTCCTTCCAAATGCCAGCCTTTGCCTTTCTCTAGATGTCTCATTATGAAATAAAACAAGTTGTATTTAAATGTCTGTGTCTGTTATGTTCGCCAAATTGAAAGCTAGTTTGCAGACAGATTTTTCCAAAGCTTTTGTTGGCCTCTATTTCCAGCCATTGTGTGGGTAAATAGATAAAAGTTTTCCTTAATGAATCATAGTTTCTCTCTTCTTGTGGACTTATGCTTCACTTTTCTCCTGGGCTTGCCTCACACAAAGTTAGAACCCCACCAATTTTTACAATTCAGCAAATTGGTCATGTAGAGAATTACTTACTGGCAAGTTGGATTTTAACAAGTTTATTATCCTTCACTTCTGTAAATTTTTCAGTAAATTTACCTGGAGTCAAACACAAAACCACTAACTGGTTTTTGAGGCTCTCCATAAATGAGTTCCAAAAGCGCTCATAATGTATTTACTAATTGTTAGCACTCAAACTACTACTATATGTTGGATGTTCCTTAAGAGGTGAAACTTGGTTGGGAAAGAATGTGAAATAGAAACAAGAAACACAGGGAGGATGTTATATTTAGGGGATTGCAATCACTGAGATGAAACAAAGTATAATTTGTTGAATTAACAACTGATGATCTGACCAGTAAGCCTATAAACTCCATTTTTTGATTGTTGTTAAGTGCCATTGAGTCTGTACCAACCCATAGTGACCCTGTACAGGATTTCCAAGGAGCAGCTGGTGAGCTTGAACCATCGACCTTGTGGTTCAAACCAACTTTGCAGTTCAGTTCTTTAGCCCACAGTGCCACACCAGGACAGGACACCATAATTACGTTGCAAGGGATACCAAAGAGAAGGTGTAAAGAGTTACTTTTGCAACTGATCCCCCATAGGAGGTAAAAAAGACTTACTTTTGCAACTGATCGCCCATGTTCATGAAATATTTTATTTGTTCCCTGACTGCCTGACCTAATTGAAGTGAGGTAGAGTCATTTGACTAGTTCAGACTAGTGATTGGAGGAAGGCTCATTAACAACCTGTGATAGCCAGATGAAAAACTTTGCTTGCTGAAAACCAAAAGGACTTGAAGCACTTACTGATGGAGATCAAAGAGTACAACCATCCTGGCTTCTTAAGAGCATTCTGGCTGTACCTTTTCCAACACAGATTTGTTTGTTTGGCTGGCAGTCCATAATACTTTTAATATATTAATCCAACACTATAACTAAAATGCATCAATTCTTTTACAGTCTTCCTTACTCATTGTCCAATTTTCATATGCATATGAGGCTATTGAAAATACCATGACTTGGGTCAGGTGTACCTTAGTCCTCAAACTGACATCTTTGCTCTTCAACACTTTAAAGAGGTCTCCTTCAACTGATTTGCCTAATGCAGTATGTTGATT